TATATATTTTATATATATATATATATATATATATATATATATAATGAAAAAATCATCTGTTGAAACTATAATAGATATTTAAAACTGCTCATTTAATGAATGTTGAAAATATAGATAAATGTAAGAAAATAAGAAAAATCATTAGTATCACCTTTAAAGTTGACAAATATATAGTCATTATAAACAAACTGCTTTTTTAATGGTAGTCAAATGTAACAATAAAATAATACATTATTAATTCAAATGCATAAAGACAAGTAATTTGTGAATACTTTATAAAAATACAATATAAACGTTACATTAAAAAATTATTTCAATGAATTATTCCATTCATTTTTTTTACATTTGTTAAGTAATGTATGTGAAAAAAAGGCACCCTTGGTAAATATGCGCAAAGGCAGCTGTGAAAATAAATCTGCATCGTTTATCTTTTTTATCTTTCCTTCACAAAATTCACAAAATTCTAACCTATCATTGGAGAAAAACAATTGAAAGTGGGCTGAAACTCACATTATGAAATAAATGTTTTACCTAATGCATGTTGGCCACAATTATTGGCACTCTAGAAATTCTTATGAGTAAAATATCTATGAAGTATATTCCCACTCATATTAAATTTTTTTTTTTAGAACACCAGGGTGACTAGGAGCATGAAATTGTCAGGCCATGACTTCCTGTTCCACAGGAATATAAATATGAGGAACACAAAGGCCAAATTCCATTAATAATTTTTTTTCTTTGGTTTTACAAGGAATAAAACCAAAGAATATAGTTCTGATGTGCTGAACAAGGCTGTTGAGCTTCACAAAATAGAAAGTGACTGTAAGAAAAGAGCTAAAGGACTTGAAAATCCCCATTTCCACCATCAGGGCAATAATTAAGAGGTTCCAATCAAGATGTTACAAATCTGCCTGGAAGAGGACGTGTGTCTATATCGTCCTAATGCACGGTGAGGAGGAGAGTTTGAGTGGCCAAAGACTCTCCAAGGATCACAGCTGGAGAATTGCAGAGATTATTTGAATCTTGGGGTCAGAAAGCCTAAAAAAAAAAAAAAATCAAACAGCCCCTACATCACCACATGTTGTTCTGGAGGGTTTCAAGAAAAATTCTCACTCATCCAAAAACAAACTCCAGCATATTCAGTTGTCAGACACAACTGGAACTTCAAACAGGACTGGCGTCTATGGTCAGATGAAACTAAAAAAATAGCTTTTTGGCAGCAAACCCACCAGATGGGTTTAGTACAAACAGGGATGAAAAGTACCCCATGCCCATGGTTAAATATACTGCTGGATCTTTAATTATGTGGGCCTGTTTTTCTGCCGGAGATCCTGGACATCTTGTTCAGATACATGGCATCATGGATTCTATCAAATACCAACAGATAAAAAATCTAAACCTGACTGTCTCTGTTAGAAATCTTATAATGGGCCGTGGTTGGATCTTCCATCAGGACAATGATCCAAAACAAACATCAATATCAACAGAAAAATGTGTCACTGAGCACAAAACCAAGCTTCTGCCCTGGCCGTCCCAGTCCTCTGACCTGAACCCTGTAGAAAATGAGTGGAATGAACTGAAGAGGAGAAGCACCAAAATGGAGCTGTGAATCTGAAGGATCTGGAGTGATTCTGGATGAAGGAATTGTCTCTGATCTCTTGTCAGGTGTTCAACAATCCATTGTTTTATTTCAATGAAAGTTTAGAATTTTGTGAATTCTTGGAATGAAAGATAAAAAAAGATTAACAGAGATTTATGAAGATTTATTTTTACAGCCATCTTTACTCATATTTACCAAGGGTGCCAATATTAGTGCCTTTGTATGGAGGAATTGGAATGCCATTTAAAAATGAAATTAGAAATCAATTAAATCAAGTATTAAAGTACTAAATCAAGTATTTTATACACATACACACACACACAGATAGATTCCACAATAACCAATATCTTACATATAGTGTTGAATGGCTGCTTTTCCAGCTGTAGACACAGAGGATCTGAAAGACATTTCTTTACACATTATAATACCGTAACTGCCTGTCTGTTTGAAATTAAGAGGTTTTAAACACTTTGAACATAAATGAGTGCTTTGGACTGAAAAAGAGGTAGAAATAAACAAAGGATTTGTGGAGAGTGGTACTGTCAGCAACAGATGAGAAAAATAAACTAGATCATAACATTGGAGGAGTTACCCGTTCAAACGCATTCTCACACACACGAGGTGCTGTTTTTCCTCTCGGGGATTGACTCTGGTTGGTACCAGGCTGCTGATAAGGAGGTGCAGAGCATTCTGTGTCCTGTCAACTCCTAAATCACACACTTTCAAGGATACTCACACACACACGCATACATTTATCTCACAGTAAAAGGGAGAGTTCAAACAACACAGGCAAGATTATGCAAATGTTATTTTGATCATTAAAGAGACACCATGCAGAATGTCTGACATGTCAACCCTGTTTAGAATCTACTGCATTCTTGTGTGTCATGTTGCCTGTTCTGCCTTTTTAAGCTTTGAGTTTTAATGTACACACACATACACACACTGACCACCTGTGGCTCTGAGAGCATTGCTCAGTCTTTCCATTTATCATTACACCATAACTATCTATATTCACTGACAGACCAGGTATCATCCTCCCAGGAAAACTGCTAAAGACTTTCCCATGAGGGAGTATGACATGCTATGATGAAGTCTTGAAGAGAAGAACATGGAAGTCATTTCTGGTAGGTTAATTTTGCGAAGTAAGGACAAAATTTAAATTTTCTGGAGAAATAAAATAAAATAATATAATAATAAAATAATAATAAATAAATTAAATAAATAAAAAATTAAAGATTTATATAAGTTATTTAGCAGGCAGCTGTCTTGACAGTTTTTCTTTTAGCAAAGTAAATGGGTAGTGCACCTGTCAAACTCAAAATATTAACAAAAAATAACAATAAAATTAAAAAATTAAAAAAGCAAAAATGTATAAATAAAAAAATAATTATTAAATTAAACTACATTTAAAAATATCATATGTGGATTCATGGAACACAAAGTTCTATAGAAGGCAGCTGTAAATAAATAAATAAAAGCAAAAATAAATAAATAAAATGTTAATTATTTAAATTAAAATTGTACATTAAATGAGGAAATTACCTAGATTAAAATACCTAGATTATTTGTGTGCTTGGATCACAAATGTAAATAATAATAATAATAATAATAATAATATATTATGTTGCAATAAATTATTACCTACATTCATCATTTTACCTATACACATTATTGTATCTATATATCAATATATACTATTCATATAGTTTGTTTATTTGCTCATTAATTCATATGTTTTTAATGTGATTTATTTATTTATGTTTGTTTTTTGTTTGTTTGTTATTATTTTTCATTTTTCGATCATTTTTGTGTTTATGTGCTTTTGGCTCTTTCCTTTTAAAAGTTTCGTCATTTGGTCATCTTGTCATATTTTCTGTTTTGTTCAGCTTAAAAAAATGATTCTAATTGAACTATTCCTTTAAAAGACAAAAAATATTTGTAAAAAACCACCAACAAACTGCCCTCTATGTGAATTAATAAAGTATTTTAATTAAATTGTCTTCATTGCAGGATGAATCATTTCGTAATATTCAAACATTTGAAGCTGCTTGCGTTTTGAGTCACAAAACGATCTCAAATAACTGGAACATGGAATGTGAGCGCTGGACATGTACAGTACACACTACACACTTTCCACATATCTGAAGAACGCGTGCCATAAATCTCAAGATAAATTCAATAAAGAAGCTTTAGAAATGGCATTCATCATGGGGGAGGCTTGGCCCTGCCCTGTCGGTGCTTGGCACGGCGTCTCAGCGCATCTAAAGAAGAGCGAGAGTGAATGAGCGACACATTCTTGGAATGCTCTTACCATTGTGGCTCTTTAATGAAGCAGGGTGAGCGCGCGCTCTCCCTGTGACAAACCCTCGCGCCACTGAGCTAACGATGATGGGAGGCGTGAAGCCAGACGTGAGAGCGCCGGCCTCCAGCCTTACGACCCCCGAGCTGTTTAACATGCGATCCGTCACTCGTCCATGCTGCGAAGAGTGTCAGAAGGGCACCCTCGAAAATCTGGCCCAACATAGTTCTCTAGTTATACAAATGCTTTACTCTACAAGATAGAGCTGGATGTGTGTGTGAGTGGAGTTTCGAAACCATTTTCTTCTGTGAAGTCAACTTTTCCAGCCCAAACGACCTGAAATTTAACTAAACCATAAATGCTGAATGGTAAAATCACTGTCAACTAGATAAAAATGCTGGGGTTTACCTAACAATTTTTTTAATGTACATGTACAAATGTACAAATATAAACAATATATTTTATATATTTTATGTGCATAAAATACATTTTGTATGCATATAATAAAAAATGTATATGCATAAAGTAAAATAAAATAGACACTACATTTATTTGAGGAGTTCATGTATGCAGAATGGTGAAAACAGTGTGCCACAATGCCTTTAGAAACTGTCTAGTAAAAAAAAAAAAAAAAGAAAGAATAAGTAATATTAAACAAAAATAAATCAAATTAAACATAAAATACAACAAAATAATGGAAAATAAAATAGAAAAATGGCCTGTACAAAATGCCAAGTCAACAAATAAATAAATAATGTATGCAGAATGGTATACGAAAAAAGTGTAGGATCGAAATGGTCTGTAGAAACAGAAAATGTCAAAAAAAAAAAAAAAAGAAAGAATAAGTAATATTAAACAAAAATAAATCAAATTAAACATAAAATACAACAAAATAATGGAAAATAAAATAGAAAAATGGCCTGTACAAAATGCCAAGTCAACAAATAAATAAATAATGTATGCAGAATGGTATACGAAAAAAGTGTAGGATCGAAATGGTCTGTAGAAACCGGCAAGTCAAAATAAATAATTAAATAAATAAATTAAATTAAAAATTAAAATTAAATATAATATAATAAAATGCAAAAATGGGCTGTAAAAACTGGCAACTTTGGCAAGTCAAAATAAATAATTAAATAAAATGTAAAAATTAAATATAATAAAATGCAAAAATGGGCTGTACAAACTGCAGCGTCTAAATAAATAAAATAAAATAAAATAAAATAAAATAAAATAAAATAAAGTAAAAATAATAAAATAAAATAGGCACACTACATTTATTTGTGGAGTTCATGTATACGAAAATTCACACATACAGGTTTTTGCCAGAGTCATAAGGCTACTGAGTGGCAAGCTCAGAAAAAAACATGTGGACTTCAAGTCCAATACCAATATAAACACTACATTCATTTTCCCAGCTGCTGGCATTACGACACAATTGTGAGAATCATGGAGCATTTACACTTGACAACACACACACAACACACACGGCTCGACTGGCTCGACTCGTAAGATAAAGAACAGAAGCACTTGAAAGACAATTTAAACAAATTTGCTTCTCCACATAATCCACATAAC